GAAGTTTGCTGGAGAACTCTATCTTTCAACTGCAGGTAGGAATGTATAGAGATGTGCATTTTACAGGTAGAGTAATATTTGTGATGATAAGGAATTCTAAAATAAACACCCTGTCTGGCAGTACCAGCTGTTTTACTTGGCTGATCCTCCCATGTTTGTCTCTCAGTGACTCTTACAGACATACTTTATGGAGGACCATCTACACAGAACAGACTGCCATGTGATGAAGCATGAATATCCACAGCATAATGCTGCCCTCATTTTCTGCATATAGGCCGACCCTTTCCATCCTACTGTTTCCCTGCTTTTCTTATCTTTTCATTTCTGTGAAGCAGGTATATAAAGTGCCAGGTCTGAATCTGGTTTTTAATTTATCTTAGTTGTGCGGCCTGTCTGTCAAGATTTTTATTTGCCTGTAAAGAAAGAAGCTGTGTATTCCAGTACGAGGATAGCTATTTATTTAACAAAATACCTCACTGTGATGAAATACTGTCTCCTGCAGATGAAGTGCTGTCACAGATGCAACCCCAGCAGCTGACTGGGATTCCCATCCTCCTCATGAGAAAAACAGATTTTCCCACATGAGTCCAGCGCTTTGGAACTAAATCTTCTGCTCTGGTCCAGAATCATGCAAATGTGGTGATCTTCTGGGCAGTCTGCAGAAGCCATTTGTTAAAGCTTTTGGAGAAGGGTAAGGGTATATTTCCAGAAAACATCAGGAGAATGCACCAACAAGCAAGCCTACAGCAGAGCCAGTTTTCAGATATTAAAAGAAATAAATGTCTAGGCAGTAGGATAATGGCCAATGAGAACAGCTGACGTAGGGAAGCCTATGGGCAGACAGTTAGACTCATTATTTTTGGTGAGAGCACATTTCAGAGACTGAGAAAATTCTATCTGTACTGTATATTTAGGGATACTAATTTGTTAGTGTCTGCTAGACTAGAGACCTTCTTAGTAGTGTGCTCTCCTTTTCTTTACATTTCTATTTCTGTCTTATTTCATTTCCTTTGCCAAGCCCCAGCACCACCAGATGATGCAATATTGCTTCACCACCTAATACTGAGACCTCTGACAGCAGACACAACTCATGGGCTCACCCACTCCTTGTGAATAAACAATGGTCTTAACAGATCTGCTTACACACACTGTGGTGTCACGAGGAGTAACATTGCTGTCTGACAAGCACAGCCATACACATATAAATAGATAAGCTATGTATTGAAGCTGGTAAGAGACATTACATGAGTTTTACATCTCTGCTTATGCGTGCATGCAACTTTCAGAGGTGTATGGAGGAAACAGCTTGTACTCCCACCTCTGAGCTTTAAATAACTTCTCTGAAGGGCAAGAACCCAAGTCAGTTAAGTGGGAGACAAAGCCTTTAGCAAATGTATCTCAGAAGGCTTCTGAACACCTGTTGCTTCCTGTTTTAAAAGCCCGAGATGTCTGAAATGAGGCATTTTAGGCAGGATCCAGGCTAGGAGCACAGATCTACCATGAAAAAAAGAAAGAGCAGGTATTTTTTTGGAGGAGAATGGACTTGAGACAGATGAGGCTCCTCTTTTCCTTGTTTGAGCTTTCTTCTAAAGAGAAGTTCACAAAAGATGTTCTGAATTGGGTCACGGGGTTACTTCCATGGCCGAGAGATCCTGAAAGATTCCCTGAGTTGCTTCTCCCTGGGAACCCCAGCCAGTCACTCGTGTAGAAGATATCTTACAGAAGATGCAGCTGCCACTGGCACCCCACCAGAAAGGGACTCTGCAGCAAAAGCTCTTCTATTTGGTCTTTTTCTGGGTCCCACCTTTTTCATGTGGGGTCCTCTATTGTTTCTCTGAGCAGTGACCCAGACCTGGCGTAAAAATAGATGGACTGCCTTTCCCTTCCCACTATATGAGCAGCCACCATACCCAGAACATGACGCAAAAGCCAAAGAAAGCCCATCTTACTCTTCAACTTGTTAGAAAATTATAGCAAGAACAAAAACTTATTTCTGACAACAAAGTTAACATAGTGTCACATACAATGAAGTTAACACAGCTGATGTTTACATGGTTGGTTTTCAGAGCAGAGCTGTAAAATAAAGGCATTTTGTTAATTTATTTTCAATCCTGAACTGAACACATCATAAAGTGCTTATGATTCATTCAGAAAATTCCAGCTCATAAATTCTGTAGGAAAGGGGAAAGCTGCTTACCCTCCATCAGAAAGTACCATGTATTCCTCAGTATTTCTTTCAATGTCCTTTACATAAGGAAGCAATTACAAAAGTGAATGTTCCTCTTGCCGAGTTGAGGCAAGCAGACTCTGGCTTTGTTGGTATCAGACCTACAACATTTCTGTACTGAAGTTTTTACTCTGATAGCGATACAGAAAAACACACAAGCTATTAGGTACTGCTCCAAAAACTGCAATGAACCCAGTCTGTCAATGGCAATAGAACATCTACATCAAGTTTCAGCATATGTTGGTACATAAAGTTGTTGCTGAGCATTTAATGTGGCTGTTATTCTTTATCTCAATTCTCCATGAAGCAACATAAAAACTGATATTTCACTGTATGGAGGACACAATAATACCATCTTACATTTTTCCAACCTCCAAAACTCCCATTAAAGATCGTGACAGCAATTTCTTGTCATATTTTTATTACAGCTGAAAGATAAAGGAAATAATTGCATTGTGACTGAACTCCACAAGATTTTATTAGCAAAGTGATTGCTTCTTTGCATGACTAATTTTGATTAAATCAGCTTCATTTAAATACCAAATTGTGTTCTTCGCTTTCCTTCATTAAGCTATGGTATTCCTGAACATTTGGAGCTCCGTTTTTATGTGATAAAATAGCCTTTCTCTATTTTGTACTGGTTGGTATTGACTGAAAAAGAGATACACTGATAGCTAATTTATGAGAAAGGGTTAAAGTCACATTTAGAAATCAACAGGAATGAAATAATTTTAAAATATGCATTTCTGAAGAATATGTGAGCTATAAAGAGAGAACCCTAGTAACAGGAAATTCTGCGTTACTTCATTTGCCACTAACAGTAATAAATACATGTGCTGTGTATGTAGGAGTGGAAAATTAACTGCAAAAAATTAATATTTTGTTAGCCTACTAAATCCTGAAATAAGGGGAAAAAATTGTAACATCTCACAAAATATTCTACCTCATTTTCTTGAATGGAATACAGAAAATTCTTTATTCTTTCATTGCAAGTAGCATTATGTTGATTTATAGTTATTTAAGGTATTTCATACAATTCTAGCAGAAGACGACATGAAACACGTTACTCATGTTGTAATCTATTCCTTTTGAATTTGTCTTCTGACAAATGAAAGGCTTTGGTTTAGCTGCTCCAATCTCCATGTTTGTGCATTGCCAAATAAGCCCACAGATTTCAAGAAGATTAGTAGGCAGACTTACTATCCCGGCATTCCTGGAACGATCTGGCTGGGGATCCAGCCAACAACAAAGGCTTCCATTTCTGATAAGATTTTGTAATCTCTTCTAATTCAGCACTGCACATGCTGTGCAAAGGTGAATTTCCTTGACCAATATTACCAATTATAGAAGGCAAAACACAGTCAGTGAATCTTCAACAAGTTTCCCCTGTGCTGCAAGCACATCACGTGGATGCTGTTAAAGGTTTTTATTTTGCTTTCATGTTCAGAAAAAGAGGAACTTCAGTCCAGTACAGAGTTACATTTCCATTTAGCCACTGTTCAGTGTAATGTACATTAATTTTAAAACTCCATGTTCACACTATGGTTTCTGAATTGCTTTCTGCATCAACCTGGTACTACGGTTCTTTTGTCATGCAGATGATTTTTTAAGTCAAGAGAATTCCAGTGTTACAATGACAATTACCCAAACTTTCGTCATAGCATCTGTGCAAGTAACATACTAGCTATTCCTTCCTGACATTTTTCTGTATGTGGAAGTTAATGCAGTGTACCTAGAAAGATGTCTTTGTGAAAACCTATGATCTCACCAAGCACTCCCTGGAGATGTAACCTTGTGTCAGCACACCTTTCAGGGCAAGCATGTGGGCTCACTGCTGCCCAGGGTTCACCTGTGAATTGCGTATCAAAATCAGGGCCAAAAAGGTCTCAAGTGCTGAAGTAATTTTGCTAACCATTTCAAAATAGAGCTGAGGAGACACAAATGCTCAGATCCTTTCAGAGTCAGGCAGCAGCCAGGGCGGGGAGTGAGTAGTAAAGGCAAGTGTTTGTTTGGGTTGGAAGTGAATGGTTTCGCCTGTGCTGCATGTTGAGTCCTGGCACCGTGAGGCTGATGAATTAATCCTGCTGTGGGCAGCTTTGGCAGGACGTTAGCTGGAGTAGTCCTCTGTCCAGTTCAGGGCAGTGCTTTCCAAAACAACACGGCCCATTTGACTGGAGCCCAGAGGCGGGCTACAGGGAGCCCCGCAGGGCTGAGGAACTGCCTGGTCTGAAGATGCAAAGACAACAGGAAAACAAGAATACCTTCATCTAACAAGTGGCAGGAAAAATAAGGGGAATAAGACAACTAAGAGGTAGATCCTGTAGAAGTGGACATGTAATAAGCCAACTTGAAAATCTTTCCAAAGGAGAAGGCCACCGAGCAGGGCAGCAATGACCATCAAAGGGTTTCCTGAGGTCAGCTCAGCCCGGTACAAGCCAGCCGCTCCTCGCTTCGGGACGGGCACCCGGCGAGGCCCCCTGGCCACGGCCACACCGCGCGGGCGACCCGGGCGGCGGTTTCCGGAGCGCGATCCGCGCCGCTCCCCGCCCCGATCGATGCGGCCACATCGCAGCCGCGCGTCCCCCGTCCGGCGCGGCCGCCCGCCGCCTTCCGGCGGCCAGGCGGGGCCCGGCGCCAGAAAGACCCGCGCGGCGGCCCGGCCCGGCGCCGGCCCCTTCCCCGGAGGGCCCGGCTCGGGGGAAGGGGCACGGCCCCGCGGCCCGCTCCGCGGCAGGTCCAGGCGCAGCGCCCGGGGCCGGGCCGCGCCGTGCCGGCCGAGCGGGGCGGGGAGGCCCCGCCGCCGGTTCCCCCTGTGCCCGGCGCGTGATTGGCGGCGGCTCCGGAGCTGCCTACCGCCGGCCATGGAGCCTCCCCTCCGGCCCCCGACCCGCTCCGCTTCCTGCTGAGGAGAACACCTGTCCGGAGCGGGGCCGCGGCCGCGCGCAACGGTGAGTAGCGCCGTTCCGGGCGCGCCGCCGGACCCTTCCCCAGGCCGGCGCCGCCCGGGGCCGGGCAGCTCGGACGGGGAATCCCGCGGTGCGCCTCCGCGGCCCGGGCCGGCCCCCGCGGCGGGCGGAGGCGAGCGGGCTCGGGCTCCTTGTCGGGCTGCGGTGCGTTCCGCAGCTCCGCTTCTCCCGCGGGCTCTCGGCCCCGGCCGCCATGTCGGCCGGCTCCCGGCTGCGCCCGGCCCGGGGTCGGGCGACGCGCTCGGCCCTGAGAGCAATTGGACTCCGCTGAGTCGTTAGTCGGCACCGCGGCCCGCAAGGCGGGGCTGAGTGCGTCCGAGCCCGGCGGGTGTTTCGCTCTGCGTGGCCTCTGTGCCGAGTTAGGGCTTGGCCCGATGACGAATTGCAGGATTGATGAGAAACCCTCCGTGTGAAATTATTGGTGCGCCGATCAAACTGTGCCAAGTGGGTGATCTGCCTGCATGCGCCCTTAAGGTCTGCGACTTAGCTGTGCTGCGCATAGAGTTTAAACAACAAATGACTGTATTTCCTCATCAAACAAATAATAATCTCTTCTGTGACCCAGTCACAAACTTATAAGTCATAAACTTTCCCTGACCAAAAAAAAAAATTTTTTTTTGAAAAAAAGCTTAGGACATTCTGGAGCTGGCATTCTCTGTAGGTACTGCTGGTGGCAGGGAGTTCAACCTAGATGATCTTTAAGGTCTATTCAAGGTCTCTTCCAACCCAAGCCATTCTGTGATTCTATGATCCTATGATACAGTTTGAGGTCAATATTTGGAAAAAAAGGTGCAGCTTGAAATAACTGTGTTACAGCAGCCAGAGCTGTGATCCTTCGGTTTTCAGACACTGCATCGATTTAAAAGTAAATTACCCATCACTGATGTTAAATGGTTAGCCAAGATTCTTCCAAACTTCCTATCTTTATTTTTAGAACCAGCTAGAAGTTAATGTTTCTTCCAGTTTTGGGTATCTATGCCAGATAGAGAACTAGAGTAGAAACCAAAATATGGAGAAGTCTTTAGAAAAGACTTGGGCCCTGAAAATATTGCGGTCCTCCCCAAATTGTAATCTACAACCTCCTGTTAAGCTGTATCTGCTGGGGAATATATTTTTTGATGTAGAAGTCTGCAGAATTATCTGTAATGTTTACTTGCTAATGGAAGGAACTTGTGTTGATCTAATCCTGGTGAGAGTTGGTAGTTGCTAGTGGATTTGACAGGAGAACCTTTCAAGGCAGTTCTTTTTTACCTGTGCTCATGCTTAACATGTTAGTGCTGCATCTTCCCTGCATAGCACATAACTGCATTGTAATGCATATAGTAGGAAGATAAGTTTTACTCATCCATCAAATGCAAAGCAGTCTCCAGCTACGAAGCAGTGCTGGCATGTAGATAGTGTACTGCTTAGAAACCTTTGGGCTGTGTCATATATGTGAGTTTTTTCCTTCATTTATCTCTTTACAGTTAGCGTTATCTCAGAATGTCAGTGTAAGTGAATCATTATTGTATTTGCATAACATATAATTCTTGTTTGGATAGTGCCTATTTTCCTGTAGATTCACAGTAAAGTGAAGAGACTGATTTAAAGTGTTTTTCATATGGTGGATTAACTAAAAGTAGAAACTAGTAACAACGTAAGTATAAATGGTAAAGAATAAGCAATAAATAGTAAAAGTCTGTCTTAACCAGGCAGGGAAGTTTGACAGGTGCACTGCTTTAGTATTACTATCTGTTATGTTTCAGTCTCTGTTACTGTGAACAGCAGTGGTTTCATTCCCTTTCCTGCCCTACCACCCCTGCAACTGATGAGTCAGATCAAGGAACTGATCCAGCTGAAAATTAACCAATCTTTTCTGTTGTTGCAGTCAGTTTGCTGACCTGAGCAAAGAGGTGGGAACTTTATGGGAGATGGGAGTGAACCTGTTTGCTTCTTTTAGTTACCTAAAGGCCCTCCTCCTCCTGTGTTCTATTGTACCCTCCAGGATTCGTGGGCCAGTGGTAGGATGCTTCAGTTATAGGGATATTGAGACTTGATGAAGGCTCATAAGAATTAAAAAAAAAAAAAAAAAGAGTTAATTTAAATTATTTTTTGGTGTTGTTGGAATAGGCATATAGAAATATCCATACTGGAAGTAATGCTTAGGCATGACAAAGATTTTAGGAAGTAATTTTAAAAGATTTTCAGTTCTAAACTTAAATCTGTGCCATGGCCATGCATGGATTAGCAGGGAATAGTTACAATTTTGACGTCACCTTAAGTAAGATGGGGACACTTATGTGTTTGTCACTGCAAAAAGCACAGGCTAGTGGTGATCGTTGTTCCAAAAACTGACTTCTGAAGCTGTTGGAGCTGGGTCGGAGATGGAGTTGGATCTTTGCACTGGAGTACATGTGTACTCCAGGTAGCAAACCAAATGAATGTGGGAAGAGGGTCTTATATGGGCAGCTGCACAGGTGTCACACACTTGGCACTGTATCTGATGCAGGTTTGCTGGGGGTATCTGATTCTTTCATACTGCTGCTCTACTGGTAGGTCCTAAAATGAGATGAAGCTGTCAGTCACTGTAGTTGTGCAGCGTATGGGGTAATTCCCTGCAGCATGAGGTAGAGATGCTTCACTTGCATGTCTTGACAGTGCTGATCAGTGGACTAGTGCTGGATAACTTATCAGGAGGTGGAATATATGCGTATACTTGTTTGGAAAATTTATCCTTGAGTACATATTGCACAGTGGCAAAAAAGGATGTTTTCAGCAGGCAAAAAAACTGTGAAACTGTGATGAGTCCGGGTTTACTTAGTAGGGTCATCACAAAGACTTTTAGGATGAGAGGTACTTGCAAGAAACATATACATCCTTTGGGCTTGAGAAACCTCCCTGCTAATAGCTTACCTTTAAATAAAGAAAAATACATTAAATTCCTGACTATATTATATCTTTTAGAAATTACACTTTAAAATACAGACTTTGGAAGGATGCTGCAAAGTCAAGCCCTCAAAATTTAAGGATGAAATCCATAGCTAAAATTCTTCCCAAATCTTAAGTTGTCATTTCTAGTGGGTTTCACCATGTGTTTGTAACCGTAACTGCATGAGTTAAAAGGATGAGGAGGAAGATTGCCCAATGATTCTGTTGTTGAGGTTACCTTGCAAAATCCTTGGAATATACCATCTCCATGTGATGTTTATGGAGAGATTGGCTTAAAAAAACCTGTAATTAATGTAAGCTGGGGGTCCTCAAAGTGCTACCACCATGTAAATAAAAATAAGGAAGCATTGCAGATTAGTTTCCTTTTGTCCAGTATTTTTATTCAACTCTTAAGAAGTAGCTAAACTCTTTAAAATATACTCCATCCTCATGCTGATATTAAAAATGTTTTATTTAGATTCATTAGTTTTATTGCCCAAATTATTTTTAGCTGTTTTAGCCTGTGCTAAAGACAGGCTGTAAGCGTGTCTCCTATGCATGTGTGTTAAAATTACATTGCTCCATTGTAAATGTATTTTTACTGTTATGACAGGAAAAGCGCTCTGCCTTTTTTTAAAATGAGCAATCATACGTATAATCAACTCGGTTAAAACTTCCTTCCTGCTAAGTGCAGCACTTCCTTTGCATCTGGATAGGAGGGCGAGCAAGAAAAGCAGAAGAGTTTAACAAAGTATTTTTTGTATGAATGATCTTCCTTTGAAAAATAGGAACTTCAGAAATTAAACAAATGAGTCGTCTTCAGCAATTCAGCCTTTATTTGATAAGCAGGTAATAATTCCTTGTGTTTTGTCCATTACAGAAGTGATGACCACAGTTTGCTTTCCGGGACTCGAAAAAAGAGTTGTAGTTAGCACGTTAGATCATTTTAGCTTAAGATGTTTTTATCTTCTTGTTCTGTTATCTGCTGAAGCATCATTCATTGTGTTGTAGTTTTTCTAGTAGTTAGAGAAATATTTTTTTTGTAAAAAGCTTTATCTGAGGAAGATGTTTCTATGTCGCTGTAAGTCAGTGAAAGAAAACTCAGCGGGCGGCTTGTGCAAGTGCGTCCAGTGTCTTCCAACTCTTGGTCAATAATTTCCACTTAAGCTCATTTTCACTGAACAGTGTTAAATTGTGAACAAAATGCAATAAGATACAGGGTAGTAAGATGCCATAGAATCATAGAATGGTTTGGGTTGGAAGGGACCTTAAACATCATCTAGTTCCAGCCCGCAGCTTAGGAGGCTTTTTTATGCCCTCAGCTTAGGAGTTTTTTCTTCTGTAACATAGTAATAGTTTATGTCGGAAATGCTTGCTTTTAAAATTGCTGTCTGTTATAAGTTTGGTGAGTGGCTTGTTTGTAAAAATCACATCTAAAGATACTGGGCTTGAATTCAGATGCATGTTAAACGTCTGTCTTGAGAAGCTGGCTTTTGATTTTTAAGGAATGTTTTTGGTGTAAGTCCTTATTCCTCATCATGAAAAAGAGAGTTAGAGGAAAATGAGTCCAGTCTGAAAATTAATCATTTGTTTTTTCATATTCTGTCATTCCTAGAACTCGGTAGGATAGTATTCTGTTCATATGCTTTACGGTATCTTTTGATCTCTATGAAAATCCACTTCTGTTAGTACCAACAACATCAAAAAAGAGGAATCGGCATTTGATTAAAGAGCAAGACACTGGGGCAGAAATACACTGTCAGACTGCTTATCCTCAGTGAAATCTGGGAAGGCTGTTTAAAAGCTCTATTTTAATTATTTAATCATTGGGTTTGGTTTTTTTCCTTATATTTGGTTTTGAATTGAAAAGATTACATCTGGAGTGGTTTATATAAAGCAAGAATTTAAGACTAACAATTAAGGGGAAGAGGAAATCTAAAAAACGTGTAGCAGGATTGTGACTGGTTTTTGATTTTAATCACAAATAAGTAAAAAATAACTGTAACGCAAATGTAGATGAGAATGCAATCAAATGTTTTTATATTTTGTTAGATTTCTTCTGGCATGGAGTTGGGTGACTATGAACAGCCTGTTGTTATGAGAGAAGAAAACAAACGAAGGAGAAGAAGAATGAAACCTCATTGTACATCGAGTAATTTGTCTTCAATGGAACTGATATCCATTGAGTTCATTTTACCTACAAGCAATAAGCATACTAAAGTACCGGAAATGATGTTACTCGAAATAGCTGGAAACTGTACTGTTGAGCAGATGAAAGCACAAATTTGGATGCGTGCGATAGAGATGAGTCAAACCACAGACTTCTACCATGCGTTCACGCCGGATCAGTTCGTACTTCAGTATCAGAAGAAGGGGCAGTGGTATGAAATTTATGATAAACATCAATTATTACAGACATTAGACTGCATACTGTACTGGAAAGTGTTACAGAAGAAAGTAGGCAAAATATATGTAGTCCAGAAACAAAAACCATCAGAAGAAGTTCAGGAATTTCAGCGGCAGCTTAATGATTTAATTGGTTATGATGTTACTGATGTAAGCAACGTGCATGATGACGAACTAGAATTTACCCGGCGCAGATTAGTCACTCCACGAATGATAGAAGTAGCCTGTAGAGATCCTAAGTTGTATGCAATGCACCCATGGACTACATCTAAGCCACTCCCAGAATATTTGTTCAAAAAGATAACTAATAATAACATTTTTATAATCATACATAGAGGAACGACGAGCCAAAAGATTAAAGTGTCGATAGATGACACTCCAGATATGATTCTCCATAGCTTTTTCACAAAAATGGCAAAGAAAAAGTCTTTGATGGATATTCCTGAAGATCATAGCGAACTGGATTTTGTTCTTAGGATTTGTGGCAGAGATGAGTACATTACTGGAGACACACCCATCAAGGATTTTCACTGGATAAGACAGTGCCTTAAGAATGGGGAAGAAATCCACCTTGTGTTAGACAACCCTCCTGACCCAAGTGAGGATGAGGTGCAGAAGGAAGAGTGGCCATTGGTAGATGACTGTACAGGAGTTACAGGATATCACGAACAATTGACTATAGATGGAAAAGATCATGAGAGAGTCTTCACTATCTCTTTGTGGGATTGTAATAGGAAATTCAGGGTGAAAATAATTGGTATCGATATCCCAGTTTTACCAAGAAATACTGATCTTACTGTATTTGTAGAGGCTAACATTCAACACGGGCAACAGCTCCTTTCACAAAGGAGGACTTCCTCAAAGCCCTTTACTGAGGAGGTTCTGTGGAATATTTGGTTGGAGTTTGACATCAAAATCAAGGATTTGCCTAAAGGAGCACTCTTGAATCTTCAGATATATTGTGGTAAAGCACAGGGATTGTCCACAAAGACAAACCTTCAGTCACACGAATCCCCCAACTCTGATTCAAAATGCAAAACTCAACTTCTGTATTACGTGAATCTTTTATTGATAGATCACCGTTTCCTGCTACGAAGTGGGGAGTATGTTCTCCACATGTGGAAAATCCCAGGCAAAGGGGAAGAGCAAGGAAGTATCAATGCAGACAAACTCACCTCAGCAACTAATCCGGATAAAGAAAACTCCATGGCTATCTCTATTGTGCTGGACAAATACTGTCACCCAATTGCCTTGCCCAAGCACAGGATAACATCTGATTCTCAGGGGGACAGGACACGAGCTGAAATGCCCAATCAGCTTCGCAAGCAACTTGAAGAGATCATAGCAACTGACCCACTTAATCCACTTTCTCCTGAGGACAAAGAACTGTTGTGGCACTTTAGATATGAAAGTATAAAGCACCCCAAGGCTTACCCTAAGCTGCTTAGCTCTGTCAAATGGGGACAACAAGAAATAGTGGCCAAAACATACCAGTTGCTAGCTAAAAAGGAGGCGTGGGATCAAAGCACTTTAGATGTTGGACTCACAATGCAGCTTCTGGACTGTAACTTTTCTGATGAAAATGTACGAGCAATGGCAGTTCAAAAACTGGAAAGTTTAGAAGATGATGATGTTCTTCATTATCTTTTGCAACTCGTGCAGGTAAGGTGTATTTGTATGTTTGATCTTTGGCTTCTGAGAGTATTTACAGTACCATATAACCATTCCCATGCCAGCAAAAAACCCTGGTTTTGAAGCCTTCAGATTTTAATCAGAGCAGTGGTAGTAACCAAACTAGCCCAAAATTCATTTTCAACTTTCACCTTCTGTCTGTATCATTATTTTGGTATTAGGATTGCCTTGTGCCTTACAGTTTGCATCTTGTATCTACAACAATATGTTATATTGTCAATGCTTAACATGGCTGTGGTGGGAGCCAATCCTTACTGTGCTATCACTAATCCTGTTCTTGTCACGTCTGGATAATGCTCTTGGTTACCTTTACCAACATAGAAAAAGAAAGTAAAGGCAGATGTTAACACAGCAGAGGCCCAAATAAAAATCTGGAGTTGGATTTCAGGATCTGGAATGTCAGTGCTGTTATATAATGTGTGGCAGCACTGTGAATCGTGGACTGCTAAGGGAACCCAATTTATCTAGAAGGTCCTAAAAAAATTTAAAAGCAAATAGAAGTTTGTTATTCATAGATAAAATTAATTCATTCTGGGAAGTTGAGTAAAAAAAAAATGTGTTTTTATGGAAATGAATCACCACTGTATTTATTTGAAGTGCTTTGTGTGCAGTCTACTAGATGAAACGTCTGGAAAGTTGGCATCAGTTGTACAAGCAGATCGTTTGGTTTGTTTTTCACAAAGTGGGGCTGGAGCTGGGCTGGCTGTCAGTGGCAAAGTTCTATGGCTTCTGAGAGGTGGGACCTGCAGTCCTGCAAGGGCAGCGTGTCCCCCAGTGAAGCGGGGCGGCGCTGTGGCTTCCTGGGCCTGGCAGGTCTCTGGGTTGTGTGCAGGGCTGTCAGCCTGCACAGCAGGAAATGCTTTTTTTCAAAGAATCAGAGAGCAGAATTGGCATTAAGAAACAAAAAACAACCCCACCCATCCACCTCCTCTCCAAAGAAAAGAAACCTGCGAACCGTGGGATGGGGCTTTGGATTTCCGTGTGTTCAGAGGGTCCTGGTTGCTGCAAATTAAAGTTCATTTTTCAGATTTAGATGCACTCTGGCAGTGCTTTAAAGAAACCTTGTTAGCCTTGTCTTCACTTGTCTGAAGATGAGGCTCCCCAGGCAGAGTTGGTGTGCTTAGCATTAGCTGAAGGAACCGCCGTGGTTGCTTCCCCAGACCTCCCACATTGATGGGCTGGATCTGCTTGGCTGCGGCTCTGCAGTCTGCACGCAGCTCAGCGATTTCATTCTCCTCTGTACCTAAATTAGGGTGTGGGATGGTGATTGGTCCATGTCACAGTGCCTAACAGAAGGGGGAAAATAACTCTTTTAAAAATTCTTTTTGATATTATTTACTTTCAGGAGAGAGTTTTAAAGAGAAAAATCACTCTAAAGATAAATTAAACGAGTGTAGTATAATTTCATAGTAGTTTAATTTCACCATGTCATTTTTAGTAAGAAATTTATCCAGGTATTAAAATACTGTCATTCTCAAAAGGGAAAAAAAACTAAGTCCCAGCTTATACCTCCTACCTGCTTCCTTGGATTCTCTTCCATGGTTAATTGCAGGGCACAAACCTTTGGCACCATGCAGCCAAGTATTGATGCTGCGTGTTTTCTGAGAATGAATGGATGCTTGTCAGTGCTCTGCTCTAGGAGGACATCATGGTTGTCTATCTTGAAAACCGTCATGACTTCTCACGTGTGCCTTTGTGAAAGCTTTACAGCTTCTTTCCCTGTGCATAGAGTGCTCCCATCCTACATCCCAGTGCAAGTGGGAATCGTGTTATTTCCCACTTGGTCTATCCCAAACAGAAGTAGATATGCTGTGAATAAATCCACTGAGCATCCAATAAAGGTCTGTGGCTCTCTGTAGTAACACGTGGCAAGGACAGTTAAATCACAGCAAAATCCATTGGAAACCAAATGCCAGTGAAGAAAATCATGCTACCTTTATGTGGCATTGTGCCAGTGCCTCCTGTTGGTGATCTGACCCAGCAAAGGTCCAGGAAGGGAAATACTGTCAGGCTTTTTCTCATGGCTGGTTTTTATTATTCATATTCAAATACTTGTAATTGTCTCTTTGCAGGAAAAAAAGGATTGATTTTTTAAAAAGTAATTATTTCCAAGACACAAGCATAATAAGGACAGTCATAAAACTTTTTTTTTTTTAGTATTTCTTATGTTGAAATTTACATTTACAACTTTAAAGTAAGGAAGTTTTGTTTTGAAGCGGTGACCAGGCCTTTGGCTCTGTTTCAATCTGAAGTTGTTTTTCAGTTATGTGCATGGAGAACGTTCAGCAGAATGTATACCAGAATAAAGTCTTTAATAGCTGTCCTTGCAAGCAAATCCGTTTGAATGTATGCAATAATTACTGCTTTTAAGTTCCTTTTGGCAGTGAAAGTAAATTTTTATTAAAAAACATACCTCATTATCTCTCATGTGAAGTAAAAGTTCTTACAATCTGTTTAAGATTGTGAGTTCTTATTATCTTTCCCAAGTAAGATGCTGTCGTTTAGGAGAATTAAACTATTGGAGACTTAGTGTTGATATTTTATGAATAAAGGTAGAACTTGTGCTGCAGTACGTTTAGGAGATATTTAATGAATTCAGCGTAGCTATGCTTATGGCTTGGTTGTTTCCTTGCAAGCTGCAGAACACAGCGATCTTGAAAGAGCTGTTATGCTGCACTGCATAGCTATCCCTGGATGTTTGTGTACTGTGATGCTTCTGAAAGCTGAGCATGCTGCATGCACCAGGCTCTGCTCATCCCTTTGGTTTGCCCTTAATCTCCCCATTGTCACATCCTGACTGTTTCCAGAACCCAAAACCATTCAGCAACCCCTCTATCCACACAAGGGATTTTGTGACTTTCTTCCAGGGCTTGTTTGCTACTACTTTCTCTTTCTGTGTCTACATGCCTGCCTTTCATCCTCTAGCCTCAGTACGATCCTCCTCTAAGTTTGAGTCCTTCAGTCAACAGAAAAGAAGCAGATGGAGAAAGCACTTGGAGGAGTCACCAGGCTGCCCACCACAGCTCAGGGCCCAACCCAGAACATGGGTTAGATTCTGTTTTGTCGACCAACTCACTTGGTTATTGTGGTGAGGGTGAGAATAACAGAACAAAATTCCTGAGACTTAAAAAAGTTGTTGACTTTGTTTCCACCCCATTTTGGCAGTGTCTTGGCAATATCTGTGGGCTTGGTGCAGGGGAGTGGCTGCTGGAAGAGAAAATATCTATCTGTGCTCACAGAGCCACTGAAAAAAGCAGATCTGCTGAAGTCTTCTTTGTAGCTGTGCTCTATCCTATAGAATAGTATTTGTATCAGAGCTTTTCTTCTTTTTTGTGGTTCGCTGGGACTGAGAGTCAGAGTGCCTCTGGTGATGGGCACTGATAAGCTGCTCCTGGAGTGGGAGCAGCTCCTACTGCTGTGGGAGCTGGGGCACCCAGCAGGGAGCCCTGCTTCCCGTCCTGAGGTGCTGCCTGTTAGCAGAAATGGTGCACTCTTACTGAACGTTTTGTTTAAAGAATAGTTACAAATACATTATTTCATTTGGCAATAATCTTTTCAAGCATTCTCTGTGCCAGTCAGGCTGCAGGCTGTTTTCTCATTTTGTTAGGTTTTCCTACAGACTGCTATATTGTTTCACTGGCAGTCCAGAACTCAGTCTCACCAGTTTGCTCAGCCCTGCCTTGCTTGTCATAGAATTACAGAATGATTTGGGTTGGAAGAGACCTTAAAGCCCACCATCCCCAACCTCTGCCGTGGGCTCAGGCTGCCCAGGGCCCCATCCAACCCGGCTCTGAGCGCCTGCAGGGATGGGGCACCCACAGCTCTATGGGCAGCTGTGCCAGGGCCTCACCACCCTCTGAGTAAAGGGCATCTAACATCTAACCTGATCTCTGTCTTTTAGTTTAAAGTTGTTCCCCCTTGTTCTGTCACTATCTGACTGCGTAAAAAGTTGACCCTCTGCTGCTTTTAAGCCCCCTTCATGTACTGGAAGGACTCAGTGATCTCTCCATGGAGCCTTTCCTTCACCAGGCTGAACAAGCCCAACTCCCTCAGCCTTTTTTTGTAGGAGAGGTGCTGCAGCCCTCTGATCATCTTCATGGTCCTCCTCTGGACCCACTCCAACAGCTTCTCATCCTTCGTGTGCTGGGGGCCCCAGGCCTGGACACAGAACTCCAGGCGGGGCCTCATGAGGGCAGAGCAGAGGGGAACAATCACCTCCCTTACCCTGCTGGCCAGAAATTGCTTGTTGCATTAATCTGAAAAGAAAGTGTTGCGGATAAAAGTTGCTTGCTGAACCCTGCAGAGAAGTATTGCTTTGTTTTTTCAACTTTGTTTCCTCAAAAAAACTGTTTTGTTATGCTCTTTCTTACATAAAGAAAGTGTTCAGTACGTGTGATCTGTAAAATGTAAGAGGGCCTTACATGTTACTAACATGTCTTCTCTGTATTTTCCAGGCTGTGAAATTTGAGCCTTATCATGACAGCGCATTAGCCAGATTTCTACTGAAACGGGGTTTAAGAGTAAGTGTTTCAAATACAGTCAGCTCATGCTAAGTTACTGGCATTTTCTCAAGGAATTGTCATGTGTGCTAATTGTAATGTCTTTCTTTACCACTAGAACAAAAGAATTGGTCACTTCTTGTTTTGGTTTTTAAGAAGTGAGATTGCCCAATCCATGCACTACCAGCAGAGGTTCGCTGTGATCCTAGAAGCCTATCTTAGGGGCTGTGGGAAAGCAATGCTGCATGATTTCATGAAACAGGTTCAAGTCATTGAATTGTTGCATAAAGTCACAATGGAGATAAAATCAGTTTCTGCAGAAAAATACGATGTCACTTCTCAAGGTATTTATTAACAGACATTTCTTTGTTTGTAATAGTATTGTTCTTTTCTGTTTAGCTGTGAAATCTAGGCATCAGATTGCCTGGGTTATTTAAAAATCACAGATAGATTACAGATGTAATATTTCCATTCTTTGACTTATCTTCTTGAGCCTCATGCCACACAACTGGAAAGTTAGAATTTTATACTTAATTCTTAGCTGAATACCAGCACTGAAAAATAGAAGCAACCCAGGACACAAATATTAACTGGAAGTACAGAGCAAAAAATGGCACTTGCCAAGAAACACAGCCTTACTCAAGCAAGGCCTGGAACACCCTTGGCAAGGGCAGTGGGGATGAGTTCAGACCAGTCTCTGCTAGACCACAAGTAGCTGATGGATCAGCCCTGAATATACAGAGCACATCTTTGGTGCTCTGCAGCGCAATGAATAGGAGTCCTGTGAGACACAGATGTGACGCTGTTATTTTCAGTTCCTGTAAGCACTGCTTTGGCCCCACATAGGGTTATGTAATGCCTGTTTACCTCTGTATTTTCCTGCCTTTTTTTTTTTTTTTTTTTTCCCCTCAAGTGACTTCCTTAAAAGCATTTTTATTAAGATTCCTGTTAGTTGCTCAGATCTGGGACTAAGTGCAAGAGACATGGCAATAATAAATTCTAAAAGCTGTAAAATTTGGGAGAGAGACACACCAGTTCTTCCTATGTGTTCAGACCAGTGTGTTCTAGGCCACAAAGTCCTTGGTTCAAAAGACATTCCTGTTTTGGTTACTGGGAAGTGTCTGGGGTGCTATTTGAGATGCAGCTGTTTTTACAGACCTTGTCTTGGAAAGTAAGGAATCCACTGTGGAGCTGATGGCTGTGCTTACTGGCTCTCAGGAGCTATTCTTCAGGGCTGGAGGTTTCCATATTAAAATATAGAGCATAAATACTGAGCATTCAGTACTGCCTTTTTATTAAAATTGTTTGTATCAGTTGAAAAACAGATTTATTTGTGATTGCATAAAGTGTAAAGGGAATATGCAATTGTTCTTTGATATACAATGTGCTATCAGTTACACTACCACTTAGTGTGAATTTTGAGACTCACTGAATGCTTGTACAGAATTCTTTCTAAACTGCATTTTAAATGTATCTAAAAGTGCTGTATAATCTAAACAGATCTGGTCAGATCCCATGTTTCTGAAAGGAACTTAGAGACTTGCAGATGTACATGTCTGTAACAGCAGTGGTTTCCTTAACACGTTATCTTTGAAGAATCTGTGGAAAAGAATAAAGTTTCAAGAGAAAGCAATCACTTTAGCACCCACAGGATTTTGAAATTAAAGAGTCTCTGTACTTATTCTACAGCAGAACAGTTAAAGAAGTTTTATGTAATTGAAATTTCCACTGAATAAGGCTTCCATTTAGGCTGTTCTACTAATGAGACTAGTTTAATTCATTCTCAGATCGCTGAGGATACAACTTTTTCTATAGACATCCTAAGCTTCTTAAATTTTTAAAAATCTATTTCCTACACTTTCTTTTTTAGTTTATTGCTTCTTTTTCTTCCATATGATTTCTATTCTCCTGTTTTTTATATTTGAAGCCTGAATGCTTTAAACTGTTTCAGTTCATTCTTTCATGCAGTCACATCTAATTTTTATATATTTTTTTTTCTTCCTTCCATGCTTGTAGTTTTTTAAATTTTTAATAAACTACTTTCAGGCCTGTGGTATTCCAGTAACAGTTATGTCATCAAACTTACATTCACCTTATTTGTAATCTCTTTCTTTATATTGAAAACATAGCAATCAGTGAAAATAAATAAATTCTTAATAATACAGCAGTACCAGCTTGTATTGGATTGTCTGCTTTCATCACTGTGCTGTTTGATGATTTGTGATCCCTAGGTGTGTATGTGTAGCTGTTTCTTCTCTTAAAGAAGAAACATTTCTCTTAAAAGATGTAGTACTTTGTTCTTAAGCTAGATCAATGTGGAAATTGGTTTAGGAAGTGCTTTGACCTGTGTCAGCTAACACCTAATTTTTACACATTTCAGTTGGTCAGTATACAAAATTTTTCAAAGATTGTCTGACATTGTGAGAAGATTTACTGAAATTGAGCTAGACTTGTGTAAGGGATCAGTAGTTACATTTTAGAAAGCTTTTACATGATGACCTATGCTACCACAACCTAGTTTATTCTTAGGAAGGTTGTCTAAGGGGGGAATGGTTTTAATCTAAGGGGGAATGGTCTTAAACTGAGACAGGAGTGGTTTAGGTGAGATATTAGGAGGAAGTTTTTCACACCGAGGGCGGTGACGCACTGGAACAGGCTGCCCAAGGAGGCTGTGGATGCCCCATCCCTGGAGGCATTCAAGGCCAGGCTGGATGTGGTTCTTTTCAACCCAGGCCATTCTGTGATTCTAATTATACTGTTCACTATTAGCTCCTGTACCTCGCTGGCAGATCTTATTTAATTTTTCATTTTTACCAGATTAGATATCACATCAGTCACCAAGTTTTCTTGTTACTGTAATATGAGATTTTCAGGGCTGCAACAAGAAAACTTAAATAAGAAATTCAGCATATCTGTGTTTGAATTCCTTATGACTACACTGTGCAGCTCTGCATGAATTCAAAAGCCATGAATCTGGATGTAGGAGCAGTGAGATAGGTGAAAATAGTATTGGTAAATGCAAGGTACTTTCAAGTTCCCCTTTCTGCTGAGCCTTTGAGGGAGATATTTGAGCATTTCTTTGTCAGTAATAAGGGAAATATACAGATGTACATATACATTTTGTGTTGTGTCATTTTGTTTTTTTTTTAAATGAAACTTGTGGTTTTAATGTGATCTCTTCACCCGTGGAGATGGAGTCTTCTGAAGAATATCAAGCACTGTGTGGTTTTGAACTGCATAGAGGGACCTTGAGTTGTGAGGTGCTTGAAGACTTTTGGGATCTGAAACAGCCCATTAACCATGGGAGTTTTCCTCCATTCCTCAAAATAGAATGTCTTTAAGGAGTGCACTTTAGAAAGTAGCTAATCAGAGGATTTGTTTTTAGCTAAACATCAATTAAGAAGTTCTATTAGCTGTAATGCTTTTACTTCCAACTTTTGATTTTAGTGTGTTTTCTTGCTTGCAATTGCAGTTATTGCACAGCTTAGACAAAAACTTGAAAAACTACAGGGCAGCAAACTTCCAGAAAGTTTTAGAGTCCCATATGACCCTGGGCTAAGAGCAGGAGCCCTAGTGGTAAGTACATCTTGAGTTGCTACAAATCCTTTTTGAAAAAATCATCCTATCTGCAAGTACGTTTCCTTTGGTAAAAACATCTAAAGACCTTATTTCACTGTGAATGTGATGGCATTTCATGGCTTTAAAAAAGTATTCTTCCTAATGCTAATGGCATTTTTCTAAGTGAGATGACATGCTACCATGTGGAAAACAAAACAAAACACAAAAACAACTCCTCTTAAAAAATTCTAATAATTAAATGTCAATTAAATTGAAGATTTAACAGGTGGCTGAATTCTGTTTATATCAAATGCCTGTATAAAACTGTTTCAGCAGACTTCGGAGATTTTGCGATGTTCAGTTTTTCTTCTTACTTTCCTTGCCTTACCTGAAGGATGTGTCTGGCCTTCACGTGTCTGTAAGGTTTATTTGAGACCTCAGTCTTACTAACACAAACGTTTTCCTATTTCTGATTTTTTCAGTATCTCTGCTGACTGTGTTGCTTTTATTAAAAAGTACATTAACATTGCGCTAGAAATATGTTAAGAAACACCTGTTTCCTCCAGTGCTGTCATGTGATTGTCGAGGTCTGTGCCAATTCCTATGTTTTGCACTTAAAAACATGATGAATAAATCAGCAGGTGTATTGTGACAGTACATTTGCTCTTGAAGCTACTGTGCTATGTGAAATTTGGGTAAGGAAACACAATGAAAGCTCTTTAGATGCACCTGATGCGCAGCCTACAAGAAAGGAATCCTTTGGTTTTTCTCTTAGCTAAGAACAGATGAACCATCCAGTTTAGGAGATGGCAGTCAGCATTCTTGTCTAGGTGACTGATAGCTGTTTTCCAAGTCCATCCATGTTTCTCTTAAATAAGCCTTTGCCTTGGTAGCAGCCTGCAGGCCTGTCTGCCTTCAAACTGAAAGAGCTGCACACCTCCCAGCTGAGGACCACAGAGGTACTGTCTGTACAGAAGTCAATTGAAACAATATTTACTCAGAAATACAGCATTTCTGATAACTTCAGAAGCTTAATTTAAATAATTATAATTTTTGTAGGTTTGTACATGTTTAACTTTGAATATTTATTTTGTTAAGTTTTTAACAAAAAAAAAATGGTCTTCAAAATAAAATATCTTTGAGGCTTTTCTAGTTTTCCCTTACTTTGGAAGTGGGCAGCCCTTCCAAGGTCTTCCTAGGTACATGAAGTAACTGGTTTACAAAGAAAAGAAGCTATGTCCAAAATAGATGCACCTGTTTTGTTTTGTTTTTCTATGAACAGAAATGTTTGATGCAACATTTGATATTGGCAAGCTTTAATTTTGTCTTTGTTCTAGCAAGTGTTGCTTGTCCATAAGCTTAAAATCCTCACAGCCTGAAATTTGAATAGTCTAAACCAGATATTAGTAGCAAAACCGGTGTTTCAAGTTCAAAGCTGTAACAGTTTTTTCCCCTTTTAATAGAAATAGTGATAAAAGCTGTTTTCTTTTAAACTCAAAGTTCAGAACCTCAGTCTATGAAACGTGAATATTCTGAAATACTCTTTCTTGAAATCACCACTTCTGTCAGCTCTCAAACACTGGTGTGTAAATGCTTTTATTATTTTATGTGATTTTACTGTAATAATTATTCCAGAATAGGAAGTATTTCGTACCACATTTGTACGAGACATAATCAGATGAGAAAACGTTAGAAATAATACTATTTCAGTAGTTTCATTGCTGAACTTCTCAAAAGTGAAAAATTAGTAAAACTAAATGAGTGTTTGTTCTGTTATTTTATGAATTGCTGTGTTAAATTACTTTCACAAATGCCATTTTCACGTGAATTTGGCTGCACAGTTTTCTAAGGAAATTGAGTAAAATCAAGGAGTCTGTAATAACTGAGATCTCTAAAAGTCACAAGGGTGGACAATATGGCAAATTGCATTGGGTGACTTTCCTGTTTTGTAAAGCATCTCAGAATGCTCTGGGGCAGTTCTAAGTTTCCCAGTGATTTCAGAAGCTCTTACTCCTGGCTTAAAAGTTCTTTCTGTCTGAAACAGATTTACAAGTTAAAATCAGTTGCAGAGAGTCAAGGCTTATGTTTCCCTTCATCATGGGCAGTGTTCAAAGCTTTGCAGGTTCAGTGAGGATTTCTCTGGCAATGGAAAACCATCCTTTACATGTATTTTCAGTGTATTTCTTATGGTTTAACTGATTGGAAGTTGGTGAACTACTCTCTAGCTGGTGTATAAGAACGTTGGTGTGCTGATGTTGGAGCACAGTGCCTAACGATAGACGTCTCTTTCACAGATAGAAAAATGTAAAGTAATGGCATCCAAGAAGAAACCCCTCTGGCTTGAGTTTAAATGTGCAGATCCAACTGCTCTATCAAATGAAACCATAGGCATCATCTTTAAACATGGAGATGACCTCCGTCAGGACATGCTTATTTTACAGGTAAGATAATGCTGTATTGGAGGAATAAATTGAATATGTAAATATTTTTAAATTGTTTTACTTTTCAGAGGAGGATGTGCTGTCTACTTAAAATAGGAGGCTTTCATTTTGTAAGCTGTACGGCAAGCTGATAGCAAAAACAGGATCTTCTTTTTTGTACTACTGTGTTTTAAGTTACTCTTATCTTTCTTTCCTGCCATATTCCACACAAACTTAATATTTTGGTGTTCTAGAGAAGAAGTCTGTTATTTAGTGCAAGATGGCTTGTTTTTCTGATGAAGAATTTTTTTCATTGGCGTATGTGATAGGTGAAATTACAAATGGAAAAATAATGATAGATAGCATTGCTGTAGTAATATTTCAGCGATTGCTCTGACAAATGGGGTTGTTAGCATTTGCAGGGATATGTATGGTGGAAAATGGATATACTGGCTAATGTGTTCAATCTCAGATCATGTAGAAATCATAGAAAACACTTATTAATACCTTGTATGCAATAGAGGTTGCACAGTCACAGGACAGGTTAGGAAAAAAAAAACCACCCTGATTCTGTAACTGATAATCTTGAATGGCTGCACACTTTCTATGTTCTTCTCTTAAGCCACAAAATAGACAAGTAAGTTTAGTCTTATGTCAGAAGTCTGTGCAGTGTTATTTGTCTAAGTAATGAATAATGTCTGGGCAATGTAGATTAGATCCTGGAAAGAAATCTTTATGCTTAAGATGATGAAGGCACCCTCAGGTGCCAGAGAAGCTGTGGATGTGCTATCTGTACAGAGAAGGCCAGGTGGGGTTCTGGGCAGCCTGATCTAGTGAAAGGTGTCTCTGCTCATGGCAGAGGATTGAAACTCGATAATCTTTAAGGTCCCTCCCGACCCAACTCATTCTGTGATTCTTTGTTTCCATGAACTTGCAATAACTTTGTGCATTCCTTTTTGTTTTTGCTAGATTCTTCGCATTATGGAATCCATTTGGGAAGCAGAATCCTTGGATCTCTGTTTGCTACCATATGGCTGTATTTCTACAGGGAACAAAATAGGTATGAGAACACAGTGTAATTAGAAATTCAAAAGATTATAGTTACGGAAGTTGTGTACAGGAGAAGTATTCAGTATACTCTGCAGTCCAGAAATCAACATCAGTTTCTTTACCTTTCTGTGAGCAGCCTTCATTTGTCTCTTAGCTGTGGTTTCTGCTCTTTCTGATGGATATCTTTATACTGTTAGACTAGCTTAAGTGATTGTGCTTTCTTTGCTAATCCAACTGTTGAATCCAGCTGTAAGTTTCTCTTTAATAACAATATTTGATATGAAAAAGCAGTGAAAGCAAGTGACTTCCTTAATATGTGTTTTAATGTGCTAATAAAGATGAAATAGAGAAAAGAGTTAAAATAGAAAAACATTTATGTTTTTTCCTGACCTGAAACTCCATACCCTATACTTCCTAGAAGCAGCAGCATCACTTGATGGAATGTTCAGGCAGTGTTTGTCAGTAAGCATGAGTTCATGCAGTGGAGGTTTTGTATTTTGTAGAGTTCATAATGGGAGAAGTCAAGAGGTTCCTTGAAATTTCCTGGAGAACTGTGTCGTGGTATGTAGAGCAACCTGATAAGCTTGGCAGCAGTCCACTTACATCCAGAAATACCAAACTGATACATAATGTATACATCCCGACGGCTCCATGACTCACTGTGTTGGGTTTGCATGTATTATGCACCCTAGCACACCCACATGGCACAGTTTCCCAGTATTCAAATAACAGGGAATTGACTGTCACAGTTAATTCTGCTAACCAGATGTCATACAGCTGGCTGGAGGAAAGCTTCCTCACTGCAGAAAAATTGGCTATGCCCAAATTAAGCTTTCGTGCTGAAAAGAATGCTTTGGCTGATATAAACTATTCATCAGTGAGACAGATTAGCAAGTAGTGCTCTGCCCTTACTCAGATCTTGAACATCAATAAAAAGTAGCAAGTTTGTTAACGCCTGTTATCTATGTAGCTGGCAGTATGATAGGAACTGCATGGAGTGGTAAAGTCATTACAGTATGAATGCTGCCACTTATTTCACATGATATCCAGCTTTTTAGTTGTTTTATTTTTTTGCAGTATATTTTGCTTTACAGATGGAAGAATGTTAAACTGAGCCCCAGTGAAATTAAGAACTCTTTTAAATAATCTGCAGTGTACTTCCTCTCCAAAATCGCCACGTAACATTTTTATCATTCTTTCTTTTGGCTTCAAGATTTCTCAGGAGTGCAGAAAGCTCAGCTCACTGATGCAGTACTTGGAAGTGCAACACATAAATGTTTCTTTTCTTCTCATATAAGTGTTTTTAAAAATAAAGAAATCATATTGATAGAATTCTAATAAAGTCAAAGGAAATGGTCATGATACACCAAAATATAAACTACGCTTAAACTGTAAATATAGGTCATTTTTTTAACCTTCTAACATTTTTTATATTTTTATAACAAATGTAATGCTTTCTTTTTTTTTCTTGTTTAAAATCATCTTAAGGCAATGTAATATTTTAAATTAATGGAGGAAGGTGTAGGAATTCTGTCAGTGGCCATTGTGTTCTTATATTCAACTTATAGACTTCAGTATTCTGTCTTAAATTCATAATGGGTTCCCCGTTCTGTGATCTCAAGGAAATAATCGTTTATTTTTGAACATGCAGTGGGGAGGGAGATGTAAGAATTCAGCATCCCCCCAGCACCATGGTGGGGCCATGGTTAATCACATCCACACTTCACTTCTATGTGGCTTGCTGAAAATACCTGCAGCCTAAATTAGTAATATGCACTGTGACACCTTGAAACACAGCTTATGCTTGTTTGAAACAAAACCAAAGTGGTGACATGCAAATTTTCTTTCACAGTATTTTTGATGGTTTTCTTCCAAACTGCTTCTTCCCTTCCTCTTCATATTTTCAAGAAACTTAGGACAGTTTATGTGTGTTTACACAAGGACAGTACCCCATTTTACAACGAAAAGAGGGAAACAGACAGATGTCCTACAGATTTGCTAACACCTGGATGGTATCCCCTCCTGTGTAGATATTTCCCAGTCTGTTGAAGACATCTGTTTTCAACGCAGTTTGCAGTTCTGGAAATGTCCACTGCTGCTGCCAAATAGACCTCAGGAGGAGGAACTTTCTCTGCCACATATCATGGGTGAACAGTCGTACCTTCCTATCTCTCCCGTTGGCATGGCCATATGTTCGTGGTTTTATGAGGCAGTTTTCACTACTTACTGTGCTGGGTCACTGCCAAATTTAAAAAGCTCAAGTTGGCACATAATGTAAAAGTCACCTACCTCAGTACCGCAGATCCCCAGTAACAGGCAGCACTGTGCTTTTGCTGCTTTCTGCTCAGATGAATGCAGCCCAGTTACTGAAGTCTTCTCTAGGACTAACCATACCTACTGAGAGGCGTATCTATTTAGAACGATCTGCTGGGAGAGATGCACTATTCCAGCACATACCTGGAATATTTGCTTAGGCAGAATAAGCTGTACAACATTCTGTGTAGGTTTTGTACTGCTGTTTTAGCTCCACAGCAGAGAATGATCAGTAAATGGTTGTCATTAGCATCCGCTCTAAAATCTGTAGGCTTTTCACACTGCTAAACTACACAGCTATTCTGGGAGAACTTGAAAATGCAAAGAGAAGCAAAAGATGTCTCTTGTAACAGCTCTGCTCCCCCAGAATCAAGAAGCTGTTCACCGGCAGGGGGAGATTTGTGAGCACAGGCAGGAGAAACCTTTCCAACAGCTGGAATGTGATCTGGAGCTCCTGAGAGACAAACAACAGCCCAGCAAACAGACCGAAGGACAGTGCTATTCAGTTTGGTGGTTTACAGAGGTTGTATTTCCACAGTAGTGTTGTTATGGGCTCTGGCTGACTTCAGCTGGGAGTGGGCAAGAGGCAGTGTTGCTTGTAAAATAAGTGGATGCTCACAAGCTGTTGAAATTATGCAGAAGGTTTAGAAAGCAGTTTAAAATATTATTTTGTGTATTTTTTATGCTTTGATATAAATTTAATAATAATTCTAGTTTTTTCTTTGTTTTCTGTTAGGAATGATTGAAATTGTGAAAGATGCTACAACAATTGCCAAAATTCAGCAGAGTACAGTTGGCAACACTGGTGCATTTAAGGATGAAATACTGAACCAGTGGCTCAAGGACAGATGTGTCATTGAGGAGAAGGTGAGTTCTTTGAGTTTTCCTCCCCTAAAGTGGGATGGGGGGTTATATCAGAAGGAGGGGAGAAATGCAAAACTCATGGGTTGAAATAAAGACAGTTTAATAGGAAAGAAAAGGAGAAAAAGGAAAAGAAAAAAAGCATCAAAAAAGACTACACAAAACAAGTGATGTACAGTGTTATTGCTCATCACCAGCTGAGTGATGCCCAGCCAATAAAAGCCCTCCCCAGCTAACTCCCTAGGTTTTATGGTTAAGCATGATGTAGTATGGTATGGGACATTTCTTTGGCCAGTCTGGATCACCTGTCCTGCTTCTGTCCTCACCCAGCTTCTTGTTGAGATTCTCATTGATAGAGCAGTGTGAGAGGTCAAAAAATCCTTGACTTACTATAAGCACTGCTGAGCAACAACTAAAACATCCATGTGTTATCAACATTATTCTCATCCTAAATCCAAAACAACACCAAATAGATAAATAGATAGGTAGATAAATCTACCCTAGCTATACCCAGGTCACAGAGTTTTTGAAAGCACCCTAGTAAATGAGAAGCATAGTGTATCCACAGTTGTGTTTAGAGTTGTGTTACTCACGAGTTTGAAAAATCCATTCATTTCCCTGCACTCAGCTGTGCATGTCTGTGGAAGAGCCTTCTGCATCCAGCTGGCAGCTGGGCTTCTGAGTTAGAAAATGCTTTAGAAATGATTCCTTTGCCAGTGGTATGTAGAAGTGATACACGAGGAGCAGATTGAAAGGACATATAGGAACACTGAGAGGCACTGTGGTTTTAGAGGACTGAAGTACAGATTTGGGTACTCGTAACTCCTTTGCTTAGGTTCAGTGACCTGTTTGAGTTTTATTTTCTCAGAAAGTGTGGACTACTATGTGCTAATTTTATTTGGCTTAGAGAGTACAGCCTGTTCTCACAGCATAGCGAGTGCATTGCAGTGCTGTGATCGTTATCTCTGCTGTGCAACAGTGTACTTTATAAGACAGTTTGTTTGACTTTTGGTTGATACACATCAACAGAAAGGCATATTAATTTGAGAATGACTGAAGGAACATTTCTAACACTGAAGCATTTAACATCTCTAAAATTATTTTTAGTTTCAGGCAGCTGTGGAAAGGTTTGTTTATTCCTGTGCTGGCTACTGTGTGGCAACCTTTGTTCTTGGAATAGGAGACAGACACAATGATAACATTATGATCACAGAAACAGGTGAGTCTGGGTTTTTTGGGGGGAATTTCATAGAAGAGGGGACTATCTACACCTCACAAGGTTTATGTTTTAATCTAATAAGTTATGCATATAGCAATGAATGAAGGTAAAGAATCCAGTTCTGTTACCATTACTTTCAAATTCAGATACTTCTATGATATTGAAACCTATCATTACCCTTTTTTGGCCTTTGTATAAGATTAGATGTTTATTTGATGGAGTGACAGCATGAGTGGACAAAGGAAGGACAATTGATGTTGTCTGCCTTGACTTGTGCAAGGCTTTTGACATGACCCTGCACCACACCTTTATCTAAATTGTAGAGATACGCAGCTTGGAAGGCCAGCAATGTTCTGGGCTGCATCAGAGGAGGTGTGGCCAGCAGGGCACAGGAGATGGTTGTTCCCTTCTACTCTGCCCTTGTGAGGCCCCATCTGGAGTACTGTGTGCAGGCCTGGGACTCCCAGAACAGGAAGGACGTGGAGGTGTTTGAGCAGGTCCAGAGGGGGACCATGAAGATCAGAGGGCTGCAGCACCTCTCATATAAAAGAAAAGCTGAGGGTGTTGGGCTTGTTTAGCTTGGAGAAGAGAAGGCTTCGTGAGACCTCATTGTGTGGCCTTCCTGTACTTAAATGCAGCTTAAATGGAGGAGTGGTACAGACTTTTTACACAATCAGATAGTGATAGGACAAGGAGGAATGGCTTAAACTAAAGCAGTGGGCATTTAGACATAAATTACTTACTCAGAGAGTGATGAGGCCCTGGCACAGCTGCCCACAGAGCTGTGAGTGCCCCATCCCTGCAAGCTCTCAGGCCCAGGTTGGATGGGGTCCTGGGCAGCCTGAGCTGGTGGGGGACAGCCAGCCCACGTAAGGGATTGGGGCTGGTGGGCTTTAAAGTCTCCGACCTAAGCCATTCTACTTAATAGTGCTGTTCTTTTCCAAGGATGAGTTTGTTACAAAGTAAGTAATCTGGCCTTGCAAAACAAAAGTTTATGTCTATATTTAAGATCTAAAAGCCAAAAGGTTTTAAAAGTAGACAGATAGTCACTTGTCTGGAGGGTGAGAGCGGTTGTGAGTGGGATTGTATGTGCTGTCAGAATGAAAATATTATTAGACTGTGATCGCTTCAAACTGTTTATGTACCTTTGCAGAAAATCCTAGAAAATAAGTATACATGGAGTGTGGTATTTTGTTACTGAGATCTGTGGAATGGTGTGTCACAGAACAAAAGTGCCAACAGTTCAAACATGAGCACACTAAATGAAATGTCAACAATTTAAACATGAGATATTAAAGCATGGAGCTAAGCATACTTGTCAAACTGTCAAGAGATTGCACCTTTAATGATTAATCTCACCTGCTGATGAGCCAGAAGAAGCTGCCAGCCTCTTCTGTACTCTGTCACACCATTGTTTGTCTTCTTTGCTGGGAAGCTCTTCCGTGCCAGCCAATGAGAGCTACCTCAAACTTGAGTTGCTAGCTACCTTGTAAGGGTGGCTGCATGTGGTCACCTGACCAATTGGCTAATGCAGGAGCACCAGACGTGTTTCTGGAAGGTTGCTGGTCTTTATATAGTGGACTATTGTCTACTGACCAGTCTATCTCTGTTCTTCAGGAGGACGTTGTCAGGAACGTGCACAGGTGGCTTAATGGGTCAGCACAACCTGGTCGGCTGTGAATAGTCCATTGAAATCTTTAGGAACCAATGTGTGATAAATCAGATTTCTTTGTAGAAGTTGGCTATGCAGATGTGTTACATGAGCATGCTATTGTCCTTTCGCCATGCCTGAGGAAACAAACTTCTCCCCACATGGCTGCATGCCTCCTGAAAGACCCTAAATTTTTTTGTATTACAAACTTTGGGATTACTTCCTTATGGACATCCCAGGGAAGCACCCCAGATTGAGCTGCACATATGAAGGCATTCTATCTGGCCTAAGGAATTCAGTTCCAGTTTTATGAGCTCATTACTTCCTAATTAGTCTTTACATAATGCAAGGAGACAGAAAATACTTTTGGTTTTAGTCAGAAGACCATATATTTAATATTAATCATATTGTAGTTAAAGTTTTACCAGCTGAAGGCTGAAGAGAGGAAGTACCCTGAAGGCAGAAATGAGCTAATTGAAGACTACAATTAAAAAATAAAAAAAAAAAGTTCACCAGAAATCCTTGTGGAAAAAAAGACAAAGAAATGCTTTAATTTCAACATTATATATATTAATAGTACTGATATTAACAGTACTATGTATATTATGTATTAGCAGAAAGTGCATGATAGGTCAGTAGAAAGGGGGACAGTAAAGGAAATGTTACTTGTTTATAGTCAGGAGCAGATTAGCCAGAGTTTAACAGGAGCTGTCTGGAGCAACAGAAGGGAGAAGGAGGTGACTGAGAGGTCTGCAGAATATGTCAGCACTGGGGTAGGTTGTGAGGACTCAAAAGGTGGCTGAAATGCTGGCGCATGTAAGGATGGTACACGTCAGGATTGCTGTTAAGTAACGTCCTACGTCATTCGACGTTTTGTCTTCTTGTGTGTATATGCCATTATTACAAATGCATGCTTTTAAGTGAACATACTCTTTTATCCTTACATCTTGTTTGCCAGTGAAACTAATAAATCAATCTAAAGAGCAGTGGGCCACTCCAGTCCTATAGGTGTAGCACTCCTTAAAAGTGAAGTTTTTCATTGCTTTCCCAGGACCTGATACTATACTGCAATCTCAAAGTTATCCGTAGTGTGGGAAACTTATTCTGTACACTGCAGGAGGATATATAAACTGGTAATACAGGTATGTGAAGAAGAAGCATGTTCTAGTTCCAGAGTTACTGTGAATTAGTGCCATAATTGACAAACTTTTCCCATGTAGTGATGTGCTGGGATCTGATTGTTACGGATTTGGAGGCACAAGCTTTCCTCATTTCGTGATTGAAAAGCTGTGAGTGTATGTTTAGAAAACATAGCAGGCCTACCTGGTTTTAACAACTGCCAAAGACAAAAAATAATTTCACTAAGAAAACACAATTATGTATTAAAAAAAAATAAAAAGAGAGAAAAAATAGTCTTTTTCTGCTGAACTACAGAGTCGTAGTTTAGGCCTACAAATGGTTTTGGAAATACAGTAAATGCATATGAGTGTTCTTGGCAATTTATTGCATTTGAGCCTAATTCTGACTTCTTTTTATAAAGGTAACCTTTTTCATATTGATTTTGGCCATATTCTTGGGAATTATAAAAGCTTCCTTGGAATTAATAAGGAAAGAGTTCCTTTTGTGCTGACTCCAGATTTTCTGTTTGTCATGGGGACCTCCGGAAAGAAGACAAGTCTCCATTTCCACAAATTTCAGGTAAAGTGAATATTTAACTGTAAATGAATTAAGTGGCATTTTTTGCCCTCTGAAATGAGCATCAGTGCCTTAGACTTCAAAGCTCTGTGCTCCTGGGTATTTCATTAATATAATTTACTGAATCATAATACATTTCTGGGTTATTTTAGCTCTAAAAGAGAACACTATCTGTAGGATTAGGGGAACTAGGATGCAAACAGCCATGAAGCCACAGTAAGGAGCTTCAGCTAGCTGCAGTCAGGCAGGCAATCTTTTCTTTGTTTCTTGTTTAGACTGAAAATACTTTGTAAGGGACATCAGTATGTAGCTGCAGAGAGACAGCGTTAAGCAGAGTATTCTGTATGGTACAAGTCAGTGTTCCTCAGCTGGCTGTGTCACTGTTACTCCCTCCTGTTTCTGCCCTCTTATCCTAGGGCTGGGCCTGCTGCATCTCGACAGTGCTTTACAGTAACCTTAGACTGTGTACGATTCTGCTTTTGTAAACTGAGTGGACTGTTGTAATAGGCGTTAAGGAGGCTTTATCGGGATGTGACGCGTCAGGACCTCCCCTGCTCCGTGATGGATTTATGATGCATGCTTTAGGGGCGTAGATGAAGCACGTAGGGCATATAAACTGCTGTGTAGTTGCAATAAACACCGTTTGCTACTCCTCATATTGGTGTCTGTGTAGCTAATGGCCCTAGCCGTTCGCTAGTCCTAGACGGCCTGAACCCTTCAAAACGGGGGCAACAGTGGACTGAACTCTGTGAGAGAGAACAGTGTTAAAAATCTTTTCTATTGCAGTTCATTCAATTTTAAGTGAGCTCCTCCAAAACAAGTTGTGATTTTGTAATCCTGTGACAATGAGAGAGCAAAGCAAAATGCTGTTTAGTATGTTTAATGAAATGTCTGAGAGAATGGCTGAACAAAGGTAAATAGATGTTGGGCTGGTCTTCATTCACACATCATTAGGAACTTTAAATTTGCTCTTGACTAGAAAGGAGGTTCTCTGTGTTACCCAGAGTCCCCTCCAGAGTGCAGATCAGAGCAGCAGCCTGACTTCAGTACTCAGGATTCCCTTTGGATGGACCATTCCCTCTGCCCTACCTGCTACAGAGTCTGCTTTTTAACACTGTGTACCTGTGGGGTAGTGGGCAGGGTGGGCAGGTCCCAGTGAACATACACGTAGTTGTTCAGCAAATAACCAGGCAAGTGTCATTCTTGAGCCCAGACTTCTAAAAATAACTATAAACCACCAGGTGCCATTTTTGAGTCTTTCTTTTGCACAAGGACTAGCTTTGGAAGTGGGAATGCTGAGCCCATGCTCTTAAAGAAGTCCATCAGCTGTACTTCATACAAGAAGGGAGGCACTACTCAGTCATCAGCCATGTGGGCTGGGACACCCATCTAGGCTACATCAATATGTAGAACACCAGTTCTGGAAGCAGGAAATAGTTGAAAATATGAAAGTGTGCTGGTGGAGAACTGGAAGACTGGCAAGTTCTTAGCATCTGGTTGCCGAGCTGCTCTCCATCATATTTGAGAAGTCGTGGCTGTCAGGTGAGGTCCCGGATGACTGGAGGAAGGGTCACGTCACTCCCATATACAAGAAGGGGAGCAGGGAGGACCCGGGGAACTACAGGCCAGTGAGTCTCACCTCCGTGCCTGGGAAGATCATGGAACAGATCCTCCTGGACAACATAAAGAATGAGCATGTGATCCGAGACAGCCAGCACGGCTTCACCAAGGGAAGGTCATGCCTGACTAATCTTGTGGCCTTCTATGATGGAGTGACGGCATTGGTGGACGAAGGGAAGGCGACCGATGTCATTTACCTGGACCTGAGCAAGGCCTTTGACATGGTCCCCCACCACATCCTCATCTCCAAATTGGAGGGAAGTGGATTTGATGGGTGGACGACCCGATGGATAAGCAATTGGTTGAAAGGCCGCAGACAGAGGGTGGTGGTCAATGGCTCTATGTCCAGGTGGAGGCCGGTAACAAGTGGTGTCCCCCAAGGGTCTGTCTTGGGACCGGTGCTCTTTAACATCTTTATTAATGACATCGATGAGGGAATTGAGTGCACCCTCAGCAAGTTTGCTGACGACACCAAGCTGAGTGGTGCGGTTGATACGGTGGAAGGAAGGGATGCCATTCAGAGGGACCTCGACAGGCTGGAGGGCTGGGCTCGGGTGAACCTAATGAGGTTCAACACGGCAAAGTGCAAGGTTTTGCATTTGGGCCGGAAGAACCCCAGGCACCCGTACAGGCTGGGAGGAGTGGGCCTTGAGAGCAGCTCGGCAGAGAAGGACCTGGGGGTCCTGATGGACGAGAGACTGAACATGAGCCAGCAGTGCGCTCTGGCAGCTCGAAAGGCAAATGGGATCCTGGGCTCCATCAGGAGAGGGGTGGTCAGCAGGGACAGGGAGGTGATTGTCCCTCTCTACTCGGCTCTTGTGAGGCCCCATCTGGAGTACTGTGTCCAGGTGTGGAGCCCTCGGTACAAGAAAAACATAGAGATCTTGGAAAGGGTCCAGAGGAGGGCGACTAAGATGATCAGGGGGCTGGAGCACCTCCCCTATGAGGACAGGCTGAGGGAGTTGGGCTTGTTCAGCCTGGAGAAGAGAAGGCTGCGGGGCGACCTCATTGCAGCCTATCAATACCTGAAGGGAACCTACACCCAGGAGGGGAGTAAACTCTTCCAAAGGGCTGACAACAGCAGGACTAGGGGAAATGGATCCAAGTTGAAGGAGGGAAGATTTAGGTTGGATGTTAGGGGGAAGTTCTTCACAAGGAGAGTAGTTAGGCCCTGGAACGGGCTGCCCAGGGAGGTTGTGGATGCCCCGTCCTTGGACGTGTTCAAGGCCAGGTTGGACGGGGTCCTGGGCAACCTGATCTAAATGTGTATGTTTGGTGGCCCTGCTAGGCAGGGGGATGGAACTACATGATCCTTGAGGTCCCTTCCAACCCGGGTGATTCTGTGATTCTGTGATCTGTCATGAGGAGATGTTGTGTTCATATATATGGATCTTACAGCTTTTCAGAGAATGTATGACCTTTACTTCAGCAGTCCACATGCTTAAGTAACAGGAGGTGACTTTGGTCTGAGCTTCTTTTCAGTAAGCCCTCATCATACAGAGCAATCCTGAATGTGTTTATTTTTCTACTGCAGTACAAATTTCTGAAGTAAATACTGCTACCGTCCCACTGGTGCAGAAATGCCACGACAGTGCCAGTGTCAGTTCCATTCGTGTCATTAACCAGAGGAACAGTGCTTAATGTGCTGTACCGTTGTGAGCAGTGACCGTGACACATAACCTGCTCATCTGATGTGGGATGATGTGGGCATAGACAAACAATAATACGGGCTGAAAAAAATGTAAGTTTGTGTACAGTTCTGCTGCGTTCCAAACTGTATGCAACCTACTGTACTGTACTGGTAATGCCTTAAAGGATTTAAAAAGAAAGTTGAAAGTAAAATACTTCTGTATAAGTAAAATGATGACACAGAGCAAGATATGCATTTCCTACCTTGCTGTAAAAAAGTGTGTTTTAATTATATTTTCAGATAACAAATGTAAACAAAATGAAAGCCTTGCTTTCCAACCAGCAGGTTGTGTCATGTTCCCAAATAGCGAGGGATTCATTCAGTGTGCCTGCTGACTCATGCAAGCAGTAATGGAAAAGTCTCGGCATTTATCCATCATTAATTTTTAAGAGCATCGCTCATTAATTTGTGCTTCAGCTACATTAAATATGTTGTACTTTAGAAGAATGCTTTGTTTTCACAGGCTTCAGTCTCCTTGATATTCTAAAATACCCATGGGTTTGTCTGGCTTTATGTCCTGTCACCTATTGGTCCCTACAGATGTGTCAGACACAACTGCTACTGCAGGTATAACTACACAGCTGATTTTCAGGCTCCCTGCAGCAGGGTACAGCAGTTAGTGCTGTGCTGGCACTGCTGCACTGTTAAAGCTGGTGACTACTTGCTTCTCTTAGCTCTTACTCCACATTTTGCTTCCCTTTTTGCTCTTTTCACAATAACTTAAAAAAAAAATTAGATGCCAGAGGCTGCTAATGAAATGACAGAAATGTTTAGTAGAAAACATCATTTGATAAGCATGATTTAATCTGAGAAGACAATTATTTCTCTGTCCCATCTGTGAATTTTTCAGCTGCCTCAATACTGTCCAGATTTCTCTTGCTATGAGTGTCAAACGTCGTGGCATTTCCTTTCCAGCTTTGGCTGAAGCCCATGCCACTCTTTTACTCCTATGTATGTTCTCCTTCATGTATTACATGTAGGAACCCTTCAGAGAGCCTTATTGTAGATCTCCCTAGACTTTTGAGCTTTGTCCACCAAGTTATTATTACGTGTAGTTAGCCTAAATTTCTCTTTACTGCTTTTGCCATTGAATGAATTTTTATTCATTCTGTCTCATTTATTTCATTTTTCAAAGTTTTTCATTACTTTACCCTGCAGACTTGATGTTACAGGGGTCTGTGGTTTCAGTACTGATCTAATCATTTCTTCTGGTTGTGCCACTTGCTTGCAGAATCCAATGTATTTGACTGTAAGACAAAGGTGATAGAAGGAAGAAGGATGTACACTTCATCACTGAAAAGAGAAGGCCTGTATAACAGAACTTGGGCACTCCATGTTATACAAACACTTGACCCTTAGGAAACTAATACTTAAGGACAGATTCAAGCTCCCAAAATAGCCCATTGTTGTCTCATGGACAAGTTGGGGGTGGTTTCTCCTCAGCTCCTCTCATTTGGCCTGTGGCTTTGATTAGTTAACAGCTTTCTTCCTAATCCCACAGTGTGCACATAGCCCTGACACGCACTTGTGTCACTTTTGGTTCCCACTGCCTTTCTCAGAAGTACAGAGATGACTTTTACTGGGAGATGTTAATTCCAAACTCCATTCAGCTCCTGTCTGCATATAACAAGGAGGTGCAGATGTTTTAAATCCTTTGAATTCTTTCGAGGACAGTGATGCCAGTTTCTTGACTGCATAATTGTTTTTCTGTCTCAGACACCTTCAGCAGTGAGATGTATCATCCACAAAGAAATGCAAAACCTCCTTTGATACGACTATAAAGAGCAGAGCTTTCATCTCTTTCAAGAGAAACAAAAGCCACACTAACTCTAGTGACAAGATTTCCCTGTTTGAAGTCGATATACATAAGAATTTTTTTCTTGGTGTCATGAAGTGAAAATAATCCCTGTGAAAAGTTGATTGTGTTTTCTATTGTAAACTGTGCTTTGGCCACTGCAATTCATCTTCTGCTTTGCCAGATCTGAACTGACATTAAAGTTCTCATCTTATTTCAGGACAGGATTTATTAGGAAATGTAAGGGGCCCAAGAAATAGGGGAAAAAATGAAAAAGAAAAAAACCTTGCGGACAGATGTTTAAAATATCATCTTTCTTCCCTTGTGTTTTCCTGACCTGTCTGCTCATTTGTCTGACATCGCTGGTGTGAGCAGTGATAGATGTTAAGGTTATTTGTGCCATTCTTACTGTTTCTGAGGAAGAAAAAACGTACCCACTGTGTCAGAAATAACCAGAGTTCTACAGAGCTAATGAGATTTGTTAGAAAGGTATACAAAAATATTTGAATTGCATAGGACTTTTAAAATTAATTCAATAAATTTGTGGAAAGGTTAATTTGAATCTTTATTTGGGTAAAAATCAGTGTTGCTTCAGGTTAGGTTTTAATAGCAACAACCTTCTTGGAATTATTTCTCGTCTCTTCCCATTACTGCATTGCAGGCCTAATTTAACTTCCTCATTTTGATTTCTAACGTTTGATCGCTTTTCCTTAAAATGTTATTTTAAAAAATAAATGAGTAATGAATTCAGTGTAAGAAATAATCATTCTGATTTATGGATTAGTCACTTATCATTAACCATTCTTTCCAAAGGTATTTCATGTTTTTCTAAGCTGCAGAGATTTAATTCTTCTAAAATTTATGCTGCTAAGCACAAATTACTTATATATGGAGGTGAAAAAAAACCAAAACAGTAATCCCTTGAATCCAATAGGACAGTACCTAACCGTGGCAGTCCTAAAGAAAGGCAGCACACCTGTGTTTGAAGCAGAGCTGTGAGCTGGAGAGGCGTGACAGAGCACCACGCCTGGAGAGCCATCTCCATTAAACAAGCTGTCAGCTCCGCAGATTTAAAGGCATCCACATGAAATGAAGAATTGAGCCCTAGAGGTGCTGCTTTATTCAGTCGCTTGCTATCCCATGGTCTTTAAATGGAAACCAATTGTGAAGAAAGACAATGAATTACTGCTGCCTTTTTAACAGTCTCAGCAAGGGATTACATGACAGGGAAATTAATTTGAAATTCTGGTGAAGCTGAGCTTTAACAACTAATATCATATTATTTAAAAGAGCCATTAGTTTGTTCACCAAAGCAGGACTTGTTGCCCTGAGGTGCACCCACCAACAGCGTGGCAGTGGATGCAGACGTGAGCGTGATGTTTCTGCTCGGGTGCGCGGCTCTCTGGGGTCTCCTCTCCCTGACACACCGGTGACTGAACGGTGTCGGTCGGTGGCAGTAGTTCATACCAAGTTCCCATGAAGTTGCTAAGCCCTCCCTTTCCGTGCACCCCATCATTTAACAGAAAATCCTTCTCTTTTGTAGGATGTGTGTGTGAAGGCTTATTTAGCTCTCCGACATCACACCAACCTGCTCATCATCCTGTTCTCCATGATGCTAATGACTGGAATGCCCCAGTTAACCAGCAAAGAGGATATTGAGTATATCCGGGATGCGCTGACGGTAGGGAAAAGCGAAGAAGATGCTAAAAAGCATTTCCTTGATCAGATCGAGGTTTGCAGAGATAAGGGCTGGACTGTGCAATTTAACTGGTTCTTACATCTCGTGCTTGGAATCAAGCAAGGAGTAGAAAAGCATTCTGCTTAACATTTGGTGTAAACTATCTGTAGGTGTATATAGGAAGTTAGTGAATGTACTTGTTGTTATTTATGCATTCCAAATACATGAGCAGTCAGTACTGCCTTTACCTCACTGGCAGCTTCTAAAAAGGCTTTTTTTTTTTTTTGTCTGCCTCTCCAGAAGAGCTTTCCTGCAGTTAAGATATATATATTTTTAATGTCTAATGATGCTTCCAGTTGCCAGACTGTCAAATAGCTGCTTTGCTGATGTGGCCTGCAATTTTCTTCTTTCCTTTAGTAATAATGAAGGAGGAGCTTGGGTCAGATGATAACCTACAATCTCAGATAGAAATTTTCAGTGGCATTGCCTTAATTGTTCATGGGAGTCCAGGCTTCAAATGGGGAAAAAGAGTCGGTTTAAAATCGACAGTAATATTGAAATCCCTGCAGGAAATTTATTTCTTTATCAGGATGGCTTTTACTCAAGTGTTCTTCACCCACATCACCCTTTGTCCCACTTTATTCTTGTTCTGATTTTCAATATGCGTCAGTAGAAAACAACCTTAACTCCACTGCCAAAAGAAATTGCTTTATTATTATTGTGGTCTCTTGACATACACAGCTGACCTTGACTGTTGCTATAAGAGAGCTTCATAGTTCCCTGGAAGCTCCTCTGGTTTGAATCTGAAGTTCTTGAGATTTAATTTTGGACTATTTTTTTACTGGTTTGTTTTGTTTTTTAAACAGGAAGTTCCATATTATATTACAGATTATATTATTATTGTAAATTTATTGAAATTCCACCTATATGGTAAAAGCTTTGTAGAAAACTCAATGGTACTTCCTTATTCCTCAGAGAAAGCTCCTCATGTAAAAGCAATTGACATTTTACCAAATATTTGAGAAACCCAAAGCTATTTATTCTTTGGAGAGATATTTTTGGGAGATACCCATAAGGAATTAAATTTAATCTTTGAAATTGTGTATATTTTGCTATTTATTTTTAAATTCTTTAAGAGACTATACTACTGAAAAGCTATTTATGAAAGAAAAGAAATAATTTCAATATTTAAAGCTAAAAGAGGAAAAAATGATCAGTGTTAAGTAGAATTGTAACTTCTCTGCTGTAGGATACCTGCAAATCACCTAGACTGCCTAAAGTAGGAATAACTATATATCATGAATTAGTCTTTGACTCCAGTTGTTACCACGTCCTTCCTGCTGATTGATTCTTACCAAAGAGAGAAGATGGCTTGCAGTATTGCTTTTTTGCACTCGTGCCCATGTAATTTCTTCTTCCATTGTAATTTTACATGGGTTTTACTTTACATTTAAATGATGAACTGAATTTTGTAATTCTGTTATCATTTGCTTTGATCGTTTCACAGAACTGTTTTTAACTACTGCTACCACTGTTACTACTGAGCTTATCCTGGAAGGATTTGTACTAAATGTACTGTAGTTGGTGTCTCGGTTATGAGATAGAGCCAATCTATTTTTGAAATACAGATGTTTAATTGATTCCCATGCACAATGATGTTTTTGATGCGTACGATTGACTGATTTAAGGAAATCTGAAAAGGTAAAAGGTAGAATAATTTGTTGTTCTGTTACATTACCATTCTGTGCAAGATAGGCTTAAAACCATACTAAAATACAAAGTAAATGGTGAACGCTGTCTGTAAAATGCTATTTTTAGGTTTGTATTTTGTAGATCAGAAATAAATTGATTGATATGTTCTATTCACTTGATTTTTCCTTCATGAATAGGCACTTTTTCCCAATATTTTAAAGATTGCAGTCTCAGTAAGAAATCATAAGTAAATCTACTGCTATGTTTGAATGCAGCATAGGGAAATAAATGCTAATCACAACTTGAAACGAATGGCATTCCTAAAGCAGCCTTCATATGCAGATGGATGTCTGTGAGGAACCCACAGCCAGAGGAAAACTGCTCAATTGCACACTAAGCCAAGACAGGTCATTTTTGTGGAGTTTACAGTGTGCTGCATTGAGTTGTATACGGCGTTTGTTACAGACTTCTGCAGCAGCTCTGTGCTGAGCTCATTAGCAGATGTCTCCAGAGCTCTCTGTGCCTGCTGCCGGGCTGCCTGGGCAGTGCTGGGCTTCCCTCTGCTATGTAGTGATAGGACCAGCAGCAATGGCCTGAAACTTGAACAGAGCATGTTCCATACAAACATGCAGACAAACATGCAGAAGAACTTTACAGTAAGGGTAACAGAGCACAGGGAACAAGTGGCTCAGAGAAGATTGTAGAATCTCCTTCTATGGAGATATTCAGGACTCAGCTGGGCGCTCACCTCTGCAATCTATTGTAGGGAACCTGCTCTAGCAGGAGGTTGGATTCAGTGATCTCTTGAGGTCCATTCCAGCCCCTACAATTCTGTGATTCTGTGACTTCAGGGAGTAGGAGCAGCTGCTTCATCCCCTTGTTAACTACAGAACAAGCTGTCTGCTGCCTGACACTTTGTTAGTAAACAGCTGTGCACCCATACTGCTGGTTGTCTGTCAGCTGCTATGTGTCAGTGTGCGGCTGGGCACTGCCTGTGGCACCCCAGGCCTGGAAGGGTGCAGCTTCAGGACAGCTGCCACTGCCATCGCAGAGAGTTGGGCACCATTTGCAGAGTTGGGGCCTACAGTCTTCCAATGCTGGAACACACTCCAAATAGACCAACCCTTCAAAACAGCTTTTTCATATGGACTACAAAGCGGGAAATGGAAATTAGTCGCTAACAACGTATTTCACAGGCTCTAACTCAGCACGCAGGGAGGTGAAATTACTGATGTTTCTGAGCAAGTCTCAATTATCATCCTTTTCTGCTGGGATCCTAAAGACTTTCTAAATTATTTTTGAAGTTACTTTTAAGGTCTAGTTTTTGGTTTTTTTTATTTCAACATGTATTATATTTTCTCAGCAGACCAAATTCAAGTCATTACTGTGCCGAGCAGTAGCAATTTGGATCTATTCTTAGCATCAGTGCTTTGAAGTCAGCAGAGACTTTACCACTACTTTGGCTCCAGCCCGATAATAAAGGTGGTGGTTGTTGAGGAACGATTCTCCGAGGCTCCGGTCTTCATATGCTCTAGGACACGAGGAGAAGTTGGGAGGGAGCAAAGGTGTACAGTGTTGTATTTAGGTCACACCGAATACAATGGTTGCACTTGTTTGTGGTGTTTATCATTAGCAGAATATTTAGCTTTATTTAATGTAAAACTTCCTGCACAATGTGTCTGATGATACAGAAGTATAGATGAGAACAACTTACTCAAGTAAAATGTGAATGGAAGTTATTACTGTTGTAGGGCATTTTTCACGATAAACCTTCCTTACTGCCAGCTGACACCGTTCTGCAAATCCACAGGAGTGCTCTCAGAGATCACGTAAATTGCAAGCTCTGTGCCAGTGAGTTTCTTACTCTTTGGAACGGAGTCTTGAAATCAAGAAATTTCTAAAGAGGAGATCTTGGACACCAAAATGTTGTCAAGGCCCAGCAGGCCTTTTGAGCATCCCAGTAACACTGAAGTACCTGGAAAACATTGATGTAGTTCATGTGTCTTCTTGGCTGCCGCTTCCACAGAACGTGGGATGTAGAGGTCCAGAAGTCAACTGTCCTCAGGCACCAGTATCCCACCACGCTCACCCATCTGTGTTTTGGCCAGAAAATGTACTTACGTATTTTCAAATTTTGTGGCAAGTTTAAAGAAAGTAAGATTGATGCTAGAGAAAAGAGTTTGTCTGCACCTACACCATTAATAGCAAGGACTGATTTGCAAAGATGCAAATGGCTGTCAGCACATCTTGCATCTTCTTGCATCGCTACAGCAGTAGAGGCACTGGTGTCTGGTCCCAGCATAATGCAGGAAGGGAGCAGTCAGAAAGACACAGCTTTTCCTAGCTTTTGACAACAGAACATTTTGAAAACGTGATGTCTTGCATGTTAATGCTGAGCAGGTGGGCACTTGACAGGAAAACCTTGTCCCTTCCTACCTCTGGGAATGGGTTTTGTCACTTTAGAGCTTGCAGCTTTGACACTGCCAGAGCCCCCCTTGGGCTGGGGAAAGAGGAGGCAGTGCTGAGAGACAGATGTGGGCCTCTCAGGTGATCTCCTGGGGAGGTGAAAGAAGAGGCTGTCACTTTGGAAACCGCAGCAGCACGGTGCCAGAAGCACATGCTGGTTAATTTTAGATAACAAAAGGAACCTGTATGGTGGGAGTGCTATATCGAGTACGAGCACATCCCACAGCTCGCTGCAAGCTCCCTGGCATTTGGCACTGGAAGTCACAGTTTGCAAATGCCAGTCATGTTCTCCACACTGCAGTCCTATGGGCAGAGCTTTCTGCTGTTCACATGTGTGAAGAAACATGGGAGAGGCAACTTGTATGTAGCAACACTGCTTGGAAAGGTAAACACTGAGTAGACACACAACGAAGGTAAAATCTGATGTAATGGAAAATAACCAAGCAAGACTTCTGTAAGGAGAGAGAAAAACATACAGATGTGTTAATGGCCACAGTGCAAAACAGTCTTAAAACCGTAGCTCAGAATTTGGTCCTTCTTTGCCTTTGAATTTATCTCCTTTTATCTAACCACCCTGCAGAAGGTTGCAAGGGCTCCAGGCGTTTTGTGATGTGGGAAATCTGGTGCCACAGCACAGTTTCTTGGTACATAAATCACTAACAATTCAAGATAGGGGTGAATTTTGCTAAGAATATTT